TCATGGACACTTTGATTCTGCAACAAGTTCCCTATTGTTTTTAGATATTAGGAGAGGTAAGGCCGTCAAGCCTAGAAAAATAGGCAAAGTATTTACTTAATACTAGATAATAAATTGTACATGAAAATACATGTCCACTCCATATGTATGTGTAATCCTATTCATAATATGTATTCACAGTAATATACACAGACGTATACCTATTCCTATGTACAAGTGTATATGCATTAATATTTACGTGTTTACATATTTATATGTAAATCTGTAAATACCTGAGTAGATTCGATAATAAGACTGATAAAATAAGAAATAGAAACTTTATTCTCTTTCATCACCATCACACAAGTACAAGCTTTCCACCAGGGAGTATGGAGCTGTTTGAAGGCATTGGAACCGTACTTGAATAGCGTCGTTCCAGTTTCTAATAAGCCTTGTACTCTGAAGAGCTCTGCTTGGTATGCTGAATATGGGATAAACGAACGGAATTTCCACATTTGCCAAATCGGGAACAGGAATAGGAATCTCTTGCTCCTTAAATGAAAGTGTGGGAAGTTGAGGAAGGCGAATCCCTGCGTTGAAGCCGTAGTTCAGCCTCGCCGGAGCCAAAAACTCGTACACGTTAGGAGACTCGGCACCTACGCACAGGGACACGCAGGTAAAGAGAAGAACAGTAACAAGCATCTTCATGATGTCTGAAACGAGAATACAATGGCATCCCTTGCGAAAACAGGCCTTTATACACGGATTCAGGGAAACTCTGATCTCGTAACCAAGTTCCCGACTTTGTTGGTTGTTAGGAATTAGGAAAGCTAGCAAGCGCAGTTTCATTCTAAAGGCCGATTCACAGTACGGTCTTTTTTTACTGTCATCCTTTAGTACAAATTTAACTCATGCTTGCTCAATACAGTTTGAATATGGCGCTAAAAATATCGAAAAAGTGACCATTCCCATCGCACGTTCCAGTACTTCAAATGGGTTTTTTAAACGCCCAGCACAACAGGTAATTATTCTTTGTTTTCTGTAGTTTCTCTAATGAATTGTTGACTAATATTCAACACGAATTTCTACTTTCATCAACATCCTACTACAGATGCAAATATTTCAAATGATTAAAGAGACATAATTTTTTGGTTCTCTCTTGGCATCATAAGTACGATTTTTTTCTTTATTGTTGCCTCATTATTAGAGAATCACTTTATATTCTTATCTTTGAAAAACATGTTAGAAGTTCTTTCCCTTTTAATGTATTGTTCTTTATTTCTACATTCCATCCTCTAAGTTATAATTGTTAATATTTTGGTCAAGAATTAATTATAATAAGAGATTCATGTGTTCTGTAGTAGTAAGAAAAATATTCAATTGAATACAAATTCACATACCTATTCACATTAAGTAAATCCCTTCTAAGTGTAATATAAGAAATGTGTGTATATATGTATGTATATATATAGATAGATATAATATGCATATATTAGATAGACTATAGAGATATACAATATGCATTTATATATATATATATATGTGTGTGTGTGTGTGTGTATAATATGCATATATATATATATATATATATATAATATATATATATATATTATATATATATATATATATATATATATATATATGATGTATGTATGTATGTATGTATACACACACACACACACACACACACACAACACAATAATATATATAATATTATATATATATATATATATATATATATATATATATATTGTTTATATATATTATATTACATATATACTATATATACATATATATTATATATGTATATAAAATACCAAATATCAATATATGATATGTATATACCTTATATATAACATGATATATATGCCTATACAGATATACATATAGTATATATTATGTATATATATATATGTATAGAATATTTATATATATTATATATTATTATATACATATACATCATACTTAATATATATATATACGTATAATATATGTATTATATATATATTATATATATATATATATATATATATATATATATATATATGTGTGTGTGTGTGTGTGTGTGTGTTGTGTGTGTGTGGTGTGTGTGTGTGCGTGTGTATGTATATTTAATATATATTATACATATATATAACATATATATATAAATGTATGTATATATTATATATCATATAATATATATATGTATATATATTATATACATATACAGTTTATATGATATGTATGTAAATATATGCACATTTGTTCTATATCTCTGTATATCTATTTAGAGATATACATATTCAGGATATTAAATGCATGCATATAAGTACAATATACGTATACTCGTGTATACGTATATGAATAAGGAACCGATTTGCAAATGAATAGGGTAATATTAAGCCTTTTTCTTTTCTTTTTTTCTTGGCACTCACTGCTTTACTTACCCGGCACTCGGTTACATTTTCTGCTTTACTTACCTGGCACTCACTTCCATTATCTGCTTTACTTACCTGGCACTCACTTCCATTATCTGCTTTACTTACCTGGCACTCACTTCCATTATCTGCTTTACTTACCTGGCACTCACTTCCATTATCTGCTTTACATACCTGGCACTCACTTCCATTATCTACTTTAATTACATAGCACTCACTTCCATTAATTATTTCATCAATGGGACTCATTTATTTTACCTGCTTTACTTACCTGGCACTCACTCCATTATATGCTATAGTTACCTGGCACTCGTTTTCATTATTTCCTTTACTTACCTGACCCTCACTTCCAATATTTTGCTTTACCTACCGGGCACTGAATTGCATCATCTGCTTTACTTACCTGGCACTCACTTCCGTTATCTGCCTCAACTACCTGGCAATTACTTTTTATCAGCTGCTTTTTCCCTGGCATTTATATTACTGCTTTTCTTACCTGGCACTTAATTCCATTATCTGCTTTCCTTACATGGTACTCATTTCTATGGTCTGCTTTACTTAGCTGGCACTCACTTCCATTATCTGCTTTACTCACCTGGCACTCACTTCCATCAACTGACTTTTTTCCCTGTAACTCACCTCTATTACCTGCTTTAATTTACCTGGCACTCACTTCCATTCCATTATCTGCTTTACTTACCTGGCACTCACTTCCGTTATCTCCTTTTCTTACCTGGCACTCACTTCCATCTAACTGCGTTTTCCCTGTCACTCATTTCTATTACCTGCTTTACATGGCACTCACTTCCATTATCTAATTTAATCACCTGTCACTCACCTCTATTACCTTCTTTCCTTACCTGGCATCCACTTCCATCAACTGGCACTCATTTCTATTACCTGCTTTTTTTGTCTGCATTTAATTAACTGCTTTACTTACCTGGACTAAATTTCATCACATCCTTCACCTACTTGGTACTCATCACAGTTTCGTACATTACTTACATGGCGCCCAATTAACCAGTTTATGTAATATTTGATTAGCCCGCTCCATCTTTCGTTGACATCGATCCATAAAGAAAAGAAACAAACATATATGCAATCCTTTTAACAAACTACCTTACCCGAGGTATTGTTTCGCTCTCCGGATAGGTTTAACATAAACACTTTGTTGCTCGAATAATTCATTCATGCCTTAGTCATGAGATCCATTTACATCTCACGCTTTAGTACGTTCGCCGTGTGCAGAAGAGTTGAATTTTGTTGTTTTAATGAATGTGATTTAGATCCAGAGACTGAGGTAATGCACGGATGGAATAATATGATTTGAAGTTATTTCAGTATTAAATTTTTATTTACCATGTATAATAATGTATAACAATTGAATAATTTAATTTGCATGAATGAGAGATTAAAAGACGAGACAACAATCACTGTTATTTTTTCTTTCTAATGACCTCGCAGTATGGTCAGAGTTGAGGAAGACGAATTTCTGCATTGGCTTTGTAGTTCGGTGTCACCATCTTTATTTCTGATGGCTCTTGGTATTTGAAGGGTACTGCTTGGTGTGTTGAATATGGGACAAACTAATGGAATTTCTAGGTCTGCCAAGCCAAGAACTGGAAGCGGAATCTCATGCTCATGAAAGGAAAATGTAATAAGTTGAAGAAAGTGAATCCCTCTATTGAAGCCCGCTACCAGAGCTTACTGTAATTTTGAATAATGTCTTGCATACTAACTGTTATTATATATAGATAAAAAATAAAAATCGTCTTAACACGAATCAATTAAAACGCATCCAAATGTTGATTCATACTAATTCTGTTTGCAGGCGTTTTTTTTACTTTTAAAGTGAACTTATTACACATATCATTGCTGCGATTGAATAATTCTGAAAAAAGTTTCATTATCAAATTAATACCGTGGAGAAACATTTATTCTGTTGTGTGTTGCTTACAAAACCTCAATTGGCCTTCATTCTTCTGATACATATTCAATCCTATATAAAATTTCATGCGAATATGAGAGGAAACCGATAAAGGAGATAGTTCACCTCACAATTACATTCAGTAGAGGTGATGAACGATAAAAGCGTTCAAGGGATAGAACATAACATGAAAGTATTTTCTCTATATAATACATCACCTCCGTTGGAAGATAAGGGATACTGATAGTAAAAGAAATGTGTTCAATAGTGTTTATTGTTGTGCGTTAAAGAGTTATGACGAAGAATTGCAACCTACTGAGAGACAACGTTTATGCAACTTATTTCTAATAACCTTTGGCTGTTTGAATTCTTCTGCTCGGTATGTTAAAAACTGGATAAATGAAAGGAATCTCCCACATTTGCCAAATCAGGAAACTGGAACAGGAATTCTCTTGTTCTCCAAAAGAAAGTGTTGGAAAGCTGAGGAAGGCGAATCCCTGCACTGAAGCCGTAGTTCAATCTTGCGGAGCCAAAAGTTCATGCACGTTTGGTGAACCGTATTCGGCACTACAAACACAGGGCCACAACGCTTAAGAAAACGGCGATCTTCATGATTATGTGAATTAGGAAGAGCAGCTGTAACTTTTTTTTTACATGAGCTCTTTATGTAGCCATAAATGGGAACTGTGCTTCCATAACCGAGTCTCCCATATTCTTTGCAAGGAACAAGGTGAGATAAACCAGTATTTCTACCGCAAACTTATATATATATATTTTTTTTTTACTATATTCAAATATGTTTCACCATTACCCTACTCAAAAGATTCTATTACGTACATGCATACATATGCACATATATTTGTATATATATGTTTATGTACATATATATACACATGTTATATATATATGTATGTACATATATATACACATGTATATATACATATATACATAATACATATATACAATACATGTATTACAGTATATATACATATATACATATATATAAATATATACATATATACAATATATACATATATATACATATATATAACATAATATACATATATATACATATATATACATATATATACAATATATACATATAATACATATAATACATATATATACATAATATACATATATATACATATATACATATATATACATATATATACATATATATACATATATATACATATATATACATATATATACATATATATACATATATATACATATATAT